TTCCGAACCATCAAACCCATCCTAGTCGTCCTTCCTCGGAGTCCACATCGCTATCCACCACACCATCCGACGCTGCTGGCAGCTTATCCGTGGAGAGCCTATATGAAACTTCCCCCGCACTTTTCAACATGTTGCCCCTTTTTTGGCTACCTTTCACGTTATTTTCAATGCGCAGTCAACTGGCGCCTTACTGTACGGACAGTCGACGCCATTAATGAAACAAACGACGCTGAGTGGGTTAAAACGGCGATTTCTGACAAAATCGTTTTCAGTCGTTTTTTGATATTCAGAAGGCCATTTAGCGGAAATGGACCATAGTTTTATACTCAGTGCTCATGCCCCTATACCATGCAAAAAACCATTTTCAAAAAGCGTCCCACGCCCTGAAAGACCTTCCTTGTAAGTAATACAGGAGTAGAAGAAGGTGGCGGGCCAGCCGATTATCCCAACTTTGTCACTCGGCTCAGCCGGACAAACGACTGGTGCATATCCTACTATATATAATTCGTTAAGTGTTTCTGTTGGTTTGTAGGTGTGTTTGTGTGTTTGCGTGTCGGTGTGTGTGTTTGACCGGAAATTCATAGCTTTTGTCTCCGTGGACCTAAGGTGTTCAAATTTGGTAGGAGTACGGGGTGCAGGATGAGAACACTTATGATGGGTGGGAGTACGTAACTCCGCACGGGGGGCAGGGCGTGCGCTATAGAAGATTTGGGCCACAAATTCATAAATCCTGTTTACGTGGACCTAGACCGTTCAAATTTGGTAGAAAAGCAGAAGACGGGATAGGAACACTTATGATGGGTGGCAGGACAAAAGTGAATAGTAATTGTGGTGATAGGACCCATTAGGGGCACTATGATAAGCAGGTAAGAATTATATTAATTCCTCTCTATCAGATTACGACCGCTACCGAGCAAGGTTTGCGACTTAATGAAGGATCCTCTTTGTTCGATATCATTTGCGATAAAACCCCCAGTGATTTTGAACTCTCAGCTAATGATATCTCCGTAATGAGAAAGATCACTGTTGACGACATTTGACAATAGCTTTGTCGTCACTAGAAACATTTACCGCCGAAGGCTCTGGTTACCTAACAGTTGAATCTTTGATGGGTATTCAGTTTCAGGAAAGAGAGCAATAGATGGGCACTACCTATCAAAGGCGTAAGCACACACTTCCACTGAATACCATTTGCACTACCCTGTTAGTCCTGTGTCAAAGTTCGTGTACAGGAAATTATTGTTTGTTTCAAAGAAGTGGTGGAAAATCAGTCGATTACTACAACTTTGAAGAAGGGAAACCGGCGTTAGCCGGGCGAACCGACTGGTACATTTATGATAGGACCAGTCGGATCGCCCAATTAACGCCGGGCTCTCCTCCTTCTTATGTGATGCCCGGCGTAGCCGGGCATCCTCCTTGTGTCAAAGTCGGAAAGCCATTTTACATTCGCGCCCACCACTTCAGTACAATTGCTACAACGTGAATAATCACAACATTTACTTTTGAAATGAATTCATGTGACACTACTTCTCGAACTTCGTCAGAGCGGTTATAAGACAATTCTGGAAAACACTGTCTCACCTTGAGTTCGTCAATCTAGGATGTGCGTGCTCGGTTAAAGAATGATAGAGAAAAAGATAAGCATACATATCAAAGGCTTTCAACACTAATCAGAAACTTATTGGTATTATTAAAAAAAACTAATTTTCTTGCATGCCAATTCCTTCAGAAATGATTAGAAAGTCATTCTAGAGAGCACTCCGATCTGTAAAGATCGGACACTGCTCTCTAGAATGATCTAAGCTCTCCTTTTAAAATTATAGAACGTTTTCAAATAGATTTATGAGCTTTTTCAAAAAGAACCTGACATTAACCCATGGTCACTATCGTGGGCGGAGCGTGCCCCCTTCATAAGGTCCTGCTCACTCCTTTCATTTTTTCCAGCCTCCACGCCCTCTTTGAATGGAGTTATGAACCTGTGGGGAGACTGCCGCCCACTGCCTCTCCTTCATTCTATTTGTTGACCTGTCCCTCTACTTTACCTATTTTTTTCTCTCGGCGTTGGGCTGCTAGGAAGCTATTCAAGTTTTGCCCATGTCACCACCCACTCTTGTGCATGTCCCACCCCTGGAGGCTGAGCTTCTCTGATCTCACATGTGCTCGTTTGGTTTTGCCCTATGCCCAACCCATCCCAAGCTTGACCCGACTTATGCAGGTGCTCCCTAAGGTAATATCGAATTTCTGTACAATTGAACGAACAAACAAACAGTTAGACGCAAGCGCTTCCCACACGATGATGAGATGTCGTACAGATTTCGCCCAAGCAAATTTGGAAAAACTTCATCTAGCTACTGAAGTATCATGAAGTGGATAGTCTTTTGGAGTGCGTAAGCGAAATTCACATTAAAAATTAGAAAGTTCGATAAGATTAGATTTCTAGTGATTTCTATGGATTTCCGATTATGGTTCTACGGAAAAGTACGCGTCTATTCTGGAAAACAGATTAAGTGCAAAGGTACTTTCGGTAAAAATTCTTCATGAGCAAAAAGGGTTTTTTTGCCCACGAAGCCTAACCTCTCTACTCCCTCAGTTGGCTGCGAACCGATAGTTGAGTCGTTCATAGTATAAGTATTCAGCACGACAGTAAATGGTCAGGAGGACGTTTGATGTATAAGAATTAGGTTACTTCCCCAATTTGAACCGCTTTGTGGGTATTGATCTCTTGACATTAATAGGTAATCGTGGAATTTCCATTCTGAGCTTCTCTATATCCTAGGGGTTTGATTGTCCTGCGTAGTGGGAGGCGAGTTCCGATTTTTAGTCTGTGACGTCATACGAAGAGCATCGGTTAAGTTCCAATTTCATAGCTGTTTTCTCACTGCGCTCATTTGATCTCCACGCTCTTGATCGTGCCTACGCGACTTTTGCGAGGACACACAAACGGACATACAAACGGACACACAAAGTTAGCGCTTTATATACAGAGGATAAACATAAATTTATATATACATGTTTGTCTCCTAGGTGACCATGAGAAAAAGATTTAAAAATCAATTACGGGAGGTTCTCACCTTACTACGGGCTTTTATACTCTTTCTTCTCATGACCATGGCATGGAGCGGTGTTCGAGAACTTTTATGTCGGACCGCACAATTCTTGCCATAGGCTCAAGATCCATTCCCAGCAGGTTCGCCTCGTCGTGGTCGACGTGTTTGTGGTGTAAGAGCTCATTAGACATTTCATACACATGTGATACGGCATTAATCAAATGGCAATGCTGCGCGCCCAATCGTGCGTGCTTGGTTTAACGACGGCTACTGCAATGGAAAATTTTGTGGGCGTGCTTGTCAGCTGTAAGTTGAGTCGAATGAGGAAGCGAAAGAACATGAATGAATGAATGAATGAATGAATGAATGTGCCAACAAATCGCCGTTGCTCGATTGTGATCTTGCCTGCGCAATGGAATCTGTATTCGATGGTGATACTGGAAATGCTAAAACAGCGCAGAAGTTAACTCATATTGGATGCTGAAGATTCACCGAGGAGCCCCATTAGACCGTTCCGCTTGAATTTGCACATATGCCGTTGAATTTTCGTTATTCGTTTTCTGATGCTTTCCACATTCTGCTCCTTGGAAGTTGATGCGGGGTGCACACTTGCAAATGAAAATAGTAGATAAGAAAAGATGAAGGCGAAAAAAGGGTGAGACTCCAGGGACAATTGAATGAGCTGAGAATATCAAAGATATAAAAAGAACACGACATAGTGATATTATGAGCACAAATCGTTCTTTTGCATTGACTGGAGGAGAGAATGGTCGAACCGTTGATATTACCTGATCGTTTGTTCTATCTTGGACGTCCAATGTAGTACACTCACTAAGTAGACCAAAATGAGTGTTGTGACGGCTGTTCGTTCTGTAGTTGCTGGCAACTTGCGACTTACAAGGGTTGCGTGGTTGCTGTGGCTTTAAATGACCTCTTTGATTCATCAGACGAGGCAATATCATTACAACGATGCCCTGCAGACTGTTGCAATGCTGCCGTACTGCTTCAAAACCTATCCGGACAAGTCGTCATCATGGCCTGAATTGATGGCACTGTTCAAGATGAATCTCATTGAATTTACCCCAGGTATACATATTTCCGATGTTATAAGGATAGCGTGGAGAACCGTAGGTTTTCGCTGCCAGTAGTTGATTTGATTACACCTTTATCATTCAGCTCTGACAATGTATGTTCATATACGGCATTGTAGGGTATGGAAGCGAGAAGTATACGGAGGTGAATCGAATTCTCGCGAATCGGGCTGCCGACACTGGTGGATGCATAGTAGCTCGATCGCAAATGCACAATATAATTGAAGAAAGACCGACATTAGATCGTACGGTAGAGAAGAGGTACGATCATGCAGCTGGTACTTTCTTCAGCATGACCGTTTACTCCTCTATTACTTAGACTTCTTATGCCATCGTTCAACCATAACGACATAATTTTTCCTGTGGACGGCCCACTAGGACGCTGCGGACCATCTCTACGGGTATGAACATTTGAAAAACTCTAGGTCATCCCCAATAAAAATTTCATGGATGGCACACTACAGTCGACTCTGGAATGTCCACTGTCGGATCCGGACTGGCCGCGATGTTCTGTGCAACAAATGGTACTACGGGATCAGCGACACTGGCTTACAAAGCTGTGTGCGCTGGTCCCCGATCAAGGTACTACTTTTCTTATGATGCATCACCATAAGCTGATGGTCAATTTTCAGTTGCATGGCGTACTCTCCTGCATGCGGTAATGTCATTCAAACCATCAATGCCACTGCCACCTGTAAAGCTTCCACCAAGGTGCCTTGCACATGCACACAGAAGAGTCTACCCTCCCGAGACGAACCCTGCCGATAGCAAAGGCTACAGCTATGCGAGAGGTCTTGGTAGAAGATTTAGTTATGAGTGAGTCAGCGAGTCAGGGATCTTGAAGAGTTTATGTAAAAGTAGAAATTTAAGATCACCGAGTGATATGGTGGCCGGTGCTTACCGCGAACAACCAGACAGGTGGGAATAAATAGTTAAAATGTACACATATGTCATGTTTGGTTATACTTACTAGCTTTCTGACATGAATTTAACGTGAGAAGAATCTTATAGCTATTGACACGTGTGTCGTCTTTGAGCACATCACGAGGTTCTGTTCGCGAACGTCCGATTCGGGCTGTCAAGCATTCGTACGATTCGAACTTCATGGTCAAGTGCGTACTCACGAGGACACCTACGCCACCGATGCCTCTACAATCGTATGTCTGAGGAACAGTTCTTCTCCAGTCTCGAATACAGCGTGCAGCGGGCGATGCCCCATCGTCTCGGTCAGTCCAATGATGTCGTACTTGATCTTTCGAGACGTCGTACTTGCATCACCCTAGATCTCCTATACATCTACCGATGCAAGCGCCCGCGAGTCGAATGTACTATCGCCATCATGATTCGTCTCCTTTTAGCCAGCCCGTTTTGACCCTTAGACTTTAAAAGCCTCTCTCGAGCGGTCCTACTCAATGCTGCCGTATTGTGGGCTCCTCAAGGTTCGGGGAAGTGAGACCCGTTTGTGTTACTGCTTTCGGCATATGGGTACTTTTGAATAGCTTGCCAAGTTCTAAAGTAGGATGTGAGTTGACTCCAGGCGCTAGCTAGGCTATCTCAAAGCGGAGGTTTTTGTTTTTCGAGCCGGATCTGAATCGCCTCCAAAAGTCCTAGTCACTTGAATACAAGCTTGCGACTAGCGCAGTACGAACAGAGAGTCAATTCCCTGAATCAATCTGCGTTTCTGGGCAAGTACCGGCGACTTTTTGTCGTCGACCCTATCCACCTCCTGGCTCAACCCCATCTCCAATAATTTCAGATCAGCTACGAAGCAGAGGAAATGAAATCGTTTCATATAAACCTAAAGAGGCTTTATACAAAAGATCATACTAACCCAAAAGTCATTCTCGGTAATTTCAATGACAAATGCCTTCTCGTCTCGGTCAGTCCGATGACGTCGTACTTAATCTTCCTAGCTTGCATCACCAGGTCTTCTATGCACGCTTCCGATGCAAGCGTCCGTGCGTCGAAAGTACAGATCGCCATCTTAGTCCTTCTCCTTTTGGGCAGCCTGTTTTGACCCTGAGACTTTAGCAGCCTCTCCCGAGCGGTCCTACCCAACGCTGCCGAATGGCTTACAAAATGCTGAAGAGCTCCACATGGGGACTTACCATCATCTCCAATCATAAGTTTTGCCTAACTGGCGTCGCTGTTGTTCCATAGGGAATCGAAGCCCCAAGACCTTTATAAAGTGGAACCCTTCGCTCACTTGCACGTCTCTGGGAGGATTCCGTTATCGACAACATCGACGAAGATTACAATCGGCTCGTAAGACATCTTTAGGATAGTGCTAAGAAAGTAATGTCCAAAAGCAGCCAGGAGACGTCTCTCTTTGAAAGCTCTTGAGTTTCTACGCCAGCGTGGAATGACGCGAGCTGCAGGCAATCATTTAACGATCTACTTATCTCTATCTATCTCTATCTATCTCTATCTATCTCTATCTATCTCTATCTATCTCTATCTATATCTATCTCTATTTCTCTCTATCTATCTCTGTCTATCTCTATCTATCTCTTTCTATCTCTATCTATCTCTATCTATCTCTATCTATCTCTATCTATCTCTGTCTCTATTTC